TTTAGAGCACTGTTCACGTTGCAGCAATGATGGATTTTGAAAAATTGATGGATTTTAGAAAAAGTTTCTAACATTATATTATGATGTATGAGTTCAATTTACTAAAATTAACAGTTTATTAAAGCATGTTTAATTGTCATGAGGGTTTTTTTTTATTCTAGCAATTTATTTTTATTTAGAGCAATCTGCTGTTATTGCATTTTTAAAAAAATCCATGTAGGAGTTTTTTAAATAACTTTCCCTTTATTACCAATGAGAATAATTAATGACTTATATTTATTTTGTACTATTTCTTAGTGTCCTGTCACAATAGAATTGCATTTTGGGGACTAGAACTCTTCCTCATTCAGTGATTTGACAACTGAATAAGCAGACAACTGATATTTCTTCTTCAAGAAGTGCAATATAATACTTATCCTATATTGTTGATCTAAACCATTATTCTCCTTAATGTGATTGGCTATTTAAAACTTGGTACATAAATTAAAGAGGAGATAAATGGATATGAGATTGTTGCCATTAATAGCATTTTAGATTATACAGACAATTATTGCATTCATTATCCTAGAATGGCCCCCTTGGAAAACTGTTGTTGTTGCCTTTGATATTATGTACAGTTTTTCCCTAGGAGACTAAATTTTCTAGTGCCGTATTCCATATTGCCATCACAGTTGTTTAAAACAAAGCAAATATTATGACAGATTGAAAAGATGTTATATAACTTGAAATTTGAAATACATGTTAAGAACGTTAAGGATACGTGTTGAATTTAGTTCATCCATCTTCTAATGAAGCCTTTCACTTTGTTTATCTTAATTTTACATGAGATACCACATTTCATAGCCACTGCAAGATTCCTTCTGAATAAAATGACAATATGATACATCTGAGTATATGGCAGTTTAGAAAGTTGACATTTGCTCCATTCATTTTTGTTTTGGAGCATGTGTTGGACTATAGATTTCTTTGTGTGTATATCAAAAATGATAAAGCAAATTGCTGGACATACATGTATGAAACAAAGGATACTATGCAAAACCAATCATTTCCGCTAGCGGCACACATTTATTTGATATAAAAAGTATTTACTGCTAAAACTTTTTAACATTTGCTTTAGCATTGTTTAAACTTACTGAATAAATTCCAGATTTGGATCCAAATCTGTCTGTATCAATTGGGAAAGTTTTTACCCTTTTAGTTATCTGCATATGTGTAAGCAGTAGTGTATGAATAATGTTTGTGGCCATAAATGCCATTTCTCAAAGGAAACTTTGTATTCATTTCTGTCAGGTTTTGTCTTGGCTTTTACAGTCTTTCACTGCTATGATGCAGCAAGAAAAGTGTGAGATGCTGGTTATGCATATTGCAAGACAGTGATTCTTTATTTTATTACCAAAAAAAAGACCAACTTTAGAAGGCTAGATTAAATCATTCCTTTCACTTTTTAATGGGATTTGGATGAATAGAGTAAAATATGCACTTTGCATTCATTGATAGCATCTTTAGGTTGAGGTAATTGAGTCTTTTTTCCCTGACTGAATGAATAATGACTTCATCTGATCCTCAGCGAGGCCTGAAACTTAGACTGCCTTTGTCAATGCAAAAAGATCTGGGCTTTGAAACATGCTCTACTTCCCTGGCTTAATTTTTCTTCATTTTAATCCAGAAACCTATTTTTCTTAATAATTCAAGCATAAACTATGTAGTAGTTGGAGCAGCGGAAATTGCAAGATATTTGTCCTCGTTGTGCTGCTTTTTAAATGTAGCTGATAAATCAGCCACTGTGGTCTTCAGCTGCTTAGTTCTCAAGGGAAGGGACAGCTCATACATGAGCAAGAATACCGGAATGTTCCAAAAGCATTTTAAATATTATTCTTACACAAACTGTTTCTCAGTTTGAATTATATACTATATATTGTACTATATTTGTCTGTCCAACAGCAGCTAAAGAGGTTCCTCTAATCTGGTATATTCCCTGCGAGTTAATTGCCTTATGCAGTCTGCTGTCACAGTGGTGTTTCCTGGAAAAGCATTATACTGGGTTGAAGTGCTCCTGTACTAGTTTGTGCCTTTGATTTTGAAACAGGTTGGAAATACAACAGGGTTTGTGATACACATATTCAGGTTTTGTAGTGATACCTGCTTTTTTTAAATTCAGGAGGTTTGCTTCCCATTGTTTGTTGAACTCTAGCTCCACTTTATTTCCATAGAAGCTATATTTGAACAAAAGTTATCTCATGGATTTTAGTGGAACCCAGGTCAACCTCAGTCTGGATCCATTCTGAATCTATTGTGTCTTATTCAAATTCGTTTTCACTTTTTCTAAATTACAGTGGTGCCTTGCAAGACAAAAGCAATTCATTCCGTGAGTCCCTTCATACCACGAAAACGATCATCTTGCGAAGCGTGGTTTCCCATAGGTATGCATTGAAATTGAGGTGCCTTGCAAGACAAAAACAATTCATTCCGTGAGTCCCTTCATACCATGAAAACGATCATCTTGCGAAGCGTGGTCTCCCATAGGTATGCATTGAAATTGCCTTCAGTGCATTCCTATGAGATGCCTCGCAAGACAATTGCCATTATTTCGTCTTGCGAAAATGACTGCAAGATGAAAAAAATCATCTTGCGAAGCACGGCCATAGGAAAAGCTGTCTTTCAAGTCTCAGAAAAATCACCAAGACGCTTTCATCTTGCGAGTTTTTCGTGGTGCAAGGCGTTCATCCTGCGAGGTACCACTGCATTATTTATATTAATATAAATTCATGAATCACTGTAAAAATCAAGAGCATCATCCTGAACTAGTGCTCATACACATTTAATGATCTGGGTATCTTAATGAGAATAATTATAAATAGCTTTTCATCGTTAAATCCGTTAAGGTTATACAATCGGGGATGATAGGGTATAGCCTAAGCATAGACCATGAAGTTAAATTCTTGAGGATTATATGTGGGGAGCTACTACAAGATGGTTTTATCTAATCTTGGGGAAGGCATTTTTGAACTGAAATGCTGTACAACTACAAATTACACCCAAAGACAAGGGTGAGTGATACATTGCTTATTTGTTTTCTGTGAACTACTCAGGCATTCTGAGCACATACCCTCCCTCATTCACATGGATAATATAAAGCAGTGTACCTGCAGATGCATCCACAGCATTCTAATGGCAATTTCTCTTATTACACTGGCACATATCCCTCCTGTCATTGCGGGAGTCACTTCTATTTGTGCATGGGTCCCCCTCCCCCAGCCATGCATTTTGTAGGCTTCTTAAGAAAGTCTCATCTATCTGTGCAGAGGCTGCTAGCATAAACATAATATAGGTTTTAATACAAGAGGAGCATCCCTTCTGAGGATTGAAGCAGGTGGCAAGAGGGAACATTTTGCATGCAAGCACTGTCCTCCATGCCTGCTTAAAATTCAGCTGCCCAGGGAAGCTGTGTGAATGACCCAATACCATCTGCCAGCAATGAGGAGGCGCCCCTTTTCGTTCTACCGTCCCCCTGAAAAATGAAATCGCCCCCGGGAGGCATTATCGCCCACGTTAAGAACCACTGATTTAGACCACTAAAATGTCACAAACATAAGCTAGGTTTCAGCTCTCCAGGCATCTTGATCAGGCTGAATAGGGGTCATGCAAAATAAAGCTAAAGTTTATCCAGAAATCGAGGGAGGGGGGGATTCAGAATTTGATGAGACTTACATGTTAAATATATTGGTTCACCTGTGTTCTTATGTTGATTATTCAGGTTTCTTTCCTTATTTCTGTAAATTTAATGTATTGATATACATTGCTTAGCTGGAGGTGACAATGGTTATGTGTGTGGATAATGTGCAGGTGTTAAAATGCAAATACAGATAAAGTACAGGTTTCAGTTTCCTAGTGTTTTATTAATTCATTCATTTTTTGTTTAAAAATGATAAAATGAATTCACAGATAAGAACAAACAGGCAGGAGTGCTTGAAAATATGACAGCAGTGCTTGCTTGATATTATCATGTATTGTCGCGATGAACCTAGTTGGAACCAATTCATTTTCTTCATGGTATAACATTTGGGATATCTGGGATAGAACTGGCCTTACTCACAATATGATCTAGTTAGACATACGGCAATAATGGCAAATATTCATATTAGGTAAAATTCTATTAAAACTAAATTGTAATCCAGAGCAGTTCTTTGGATCATGTTATTGGACTAAAACTCCCAGAAGCCTTAACCATTGACTGTGCAGGCTAAGCCTTGTGAGAGTTGCAGTTCAAAACAACATCTGAGGTGCAACATGTGCACTGGCATACAGACTGGCAAGAGAGTGCAATCAGGAAACCTCTGATGTAAGAGATTCTTTAACAGAAATCTGTTTATTTGAGGCATCAACTTAACATGAGCAACTCTTCCTGGTATTCAGCAAAATTACCTGTTTAATCTTAAGAAAAGTACTTGAAAGCTGTTATAAAAATGGTTTGACTTTCACAGTGACTTTTGTGAATAAATATGGCCTCTGTGCAGGGGATTCTGTAAAATCTTCATATGCTGGTTGTGTGAAGAAGATGCACACCTGTAAAAGCAGAGAACAGGATTACCACCATGGACACAGCAATGACACATATATGATGGTTGCATGTGATGACATGGAATTTCTTACATGGAGCTGATATCTATGCAGCTCCTCAAGAAATCTATCTTGTTGTGAAGTGCACTGAAGCATGATAACACTGTTCCTAGAGGGACTGAATTTTCCCCCCTGACTTTATAATAAACTTCCGTTAGATCAGTAATGCAATGCCAAGAGAATAGGTAGGATTTGTAGATGTAGTTATACTAGTGGTCCATGTTTTGCCATATTTAAGTTCATTTGGAAGGAGGAGCTCAGGTTTTATAAATCTCACGTAAGTCTGGGAAAGCAGAATTTGGTCCCTAACTGTATATGTTGTGTATAAACATGAAAAAGTAGGCATTCAATTTTAATTGCAGATTATTTGTTGTTTCCTTTAGGTTGGTTTGCTGGACCTTGAACTGAATCAACTAACTAAAGCACTGTTCTTGGCCCTAGTTGCACTTTCAGTTGTCATGGTAACCTTACAAGGATTTGTGGGGCCATGGTACCGCAATCTTTTTCGGTTTCTCCTGCTTTTTTCCTACATCATCCCAATCAGGTAGGTATAGAAACAAGGATGGGACCCCCCCGATGTTTCATTGCACTGTATTTTGTTTTAATTTTAGCTGAAGCTCTTGTTGACAAACAAATTGGTATTATAAGGCAGCTTGAGGAAATACTAACAAATCTGATTCTGAAGCGATCACTGTACAGGAAAGAAAAAAGAGTTAATATTTTTTTCTGCAATATTAGTCTTTCTGGAATCATCCATACATCTAACCCCTTTATTTGCATTAATGTTTTTTAAATCAGAAAATACTGTTTCTGAAAGAGTTTATTTGAGATATTTGTGGATCTTGATGCCATAAATAGTTCATTGAATTATTAGTCTCATTTTTTCTTTTAAAAACAAAGTTATGGATTACGCTAGTGACCACAAGCAAATCACTTTTTAAATTAGTCTTAACTTAGCTGAAAACAAGGGAATAAAAAGGCATTGCCATTTTTTAATTTTTGAAGTGTGAATTTTGATAAACAGTGTTCTCATTTGTAGGTTTTGTTCCATGATCAGAAAAAGATACAATTTTAAGGCCATGTAAATATAAGTGTTCTTGCTTTGACATTATTAGTGGTTTCAGCTCTGACAGTAGGCAGGGTATGACATTAGTGGTTAGCACACATAATTTTAAAGATAAAATGATAAAACATTCTTATATATAATGAGAGAAAGTGAAAACAAATAGGTTTGCTAGTTGCTCCTGTTCTGTAATAAATAAACTTACATATGGCCAGACTGGATGGCAGTTTAAGTTACAAAGCATATCTGCAAGAGATACTCACACATAGAGCAAAGCAGAGTTAAATCCTTAATTTAAAGAAGAGATAGAACTGCATTTTTTAATGAAGTACTTCAGACTTCATTTTCTTTTGTTGCTCTTGGATAGAAGTGTAGCAACCCCCTCAGTATCTAAGATTTTTCTTTTGACAAACATACCTTCCCTCCCTTTTATTCTTATTTGAGCTATGAAGAAACTAAGCCATGAGCTAATTGTTCTGAGGTACAGACACTCTAAAAGGCATCTCAAGAGTGCTTAATTTGGGTGAATGGTCACACCATTGTTGTTTTCAGTGCCAGGGTATAGCTGCAGGGAGTTCACTTCAAGCATGTGCCTTTTCCTTCTCACTGCTTCATTACTAGACTCCAGACATGTTGGAATAAAAATAAGGAATACCAGCAGATTGGGTATGAATTACACATATCTTGAACTTGATCACTTTATATTTTAGAAGTATGATCTATGCATTCAGTGGTAAATTCCCATAATATCAATCATGAATTGTCTGTTTAAAACTTTTCTGAATTTGTGCAGTGAGAAAAGGAGATGTTTGATAATGCTACAAGGTTATATGTTATCTATTCATAACAATTCTCCATATACGTGGGATTCTAAATCATCATATTTACTGTGTACAGGCTGGAATGCTGTTGGTGCAGCTCCATGCACGAAAGACAGAGCATCATCATCTGCAGCATTTTATTGCTAATTAAAAGTTTCCTACTCCCCTCCCCCTGGGTTCCAAGACTTCATAACCTATTTTGTCCTGGATGGTAGGGGGAAGATTTTAATGTACAAAAACTCACTGCTACCAATCTTATACTTGCACAGAACTTCTCTTGGAATCTCCATGGCAACGTTCCCTCTAATTTTCAGTCCAGCTGGGTGAGGCTCCGCCTCTCATGACTTTGCACCTGCGTGTGCACACAACTCTGCCCCCCGGTGGGATTCTGTCACAATTGGAACCAAAGTGTCTGAAAATAATCACTTTTGGTGCATGGAGGAGGAGGAATGCTGTGTTAGTTTTATTTTATTTTTTAAAAGATAGGTTTCCACTATTGGTGATGGCAGTTTTATGTCTGCCAGAGCCTTACCCAGAAAGTGTGTAATTTTAGGAGGTGAGATTGCCCTGGGACAAATCCTCAAAATGCTGGTACTGTTTAGGTGAGAATAATCTCATCCGTGTACTATTTGTCAGGGCTTTAGAAGGGTTAGTCTTCATGATAGAAAATGGAAATTAAAATTAATCCTCTAGGAGAGGTCTCTACAAGCCATCGATTTAGCTGCCCAAAATAAGTAACTTAATACTACTATCATACACTTTAGTTTGTAGAAGTCAATCAGAATACTTTGGAGTCTGCTTCTTAGTAACTCCAGTTTCTGTGAAATATTTAGCTTTTGTACCCATGACAGCTACTCTCTGAACATAGAGCACTTCAGTGTTAACAGTGCTATCTACCTCAGAGCTGGCAGCTCCTTTGACATCATCCACGGTGTTGACAGATTCAGTTAAACAGAGATCATCTTGTAAATCACATTCTGATACATTTGAACCAAAGACATAGAAGACAAAAAAATAAGACAGAATAGATAACTTTGCCTTCTGTTGTCATTCAGACATCTACTGTGATATATACTACGTCTCTTTCCATTGCTGACACTGAGGCAGTGTACTTATCATTCATGAAAATGGAAGAGCCATCAGTAGTGACAAAATGCTTCCAATCCTCCAAAGTCATCATCTTTCTTGATTCAACATTTTGTTCAGAATAGCCTATTGTATTATCTGTCACAATTCAATTTCTTATATCACCATTTCCAGTGTATTAGGTTTCTTTGCTACAAGTGTCTTCATCAGCACATATGAAATGTTCAGTTTAATAGCTATTTCATTGGCACTGGTCACTTCAGTTGTGTCAGGTTTCCCTGCTCTGCTTTCAGCTTTCATGTCAACTAATGCTCACATCCAAATTCAAATCTCAGGTTGGAGTCCCACTAACACAAAGAAGATTCCTTCAAAAATCAAGGAGTCCACTTTGACTGGACCTCCTTTCACCTCTAGTTTATTTACTGGGTCCTCAAGTGTGATTCTTGACTCCACTTTTTCCATCTGAGGAGGTCAGAGTGTATTCAAGTCCGGTGTGGTAAAGGTGTCTGAGTCAGTTCAGCTGCAAATCAGCTGCCCCACTGAATTCCTAAAGATCAGAAGAAAAGTACAGAAGGGAGGCACAGGTTTTTAATTTCCCAGCTGCTGCCAACTGTGTAGTACTGTGTTTCCCCAAAAAGAAGACAGGGTCTTATATTAATTTTTTCTCCAAAAATTGCATTAGGGCTTATTTTCATGGGATGTTTTATATTTTTCATGTACAACAATCTACATTGATTCAACTACAGTCATGTCATCTTCTGGTTGCTGCACAATGCTGCACAATGATGAAGGGCGAGGTAGTGTAGGGCTTATATTATACGCATCCTGAAAAATCATACTAGGGCTTATTTTGAGGTTGGGTCTTATTTTCGGGGAAACAGGGTACTATTCGTTCGTTCGTTCATTCATTTAAAAAATGATATATATGCCACCATTCTCCCCATAGGGGTTCCAGGCAGCTTACAAGGGTTGAAACAGCTTTTTAAAACACTATACAGTATATAATGTTTAAAAAACAATTAAGTATATATTAACATTAAAAAATCAAATTTAAAAACCTGTACATTAAGGCAATATAGTCAAAGGGCAGAGGAAAATTTCACACTACTACAGCATATAACTCAAGTAAGAAGTTAGATTTAATGGGATGTTGTCTGTACTCATCAGCTGTGGTAGGGGTTTGCAATGTTAACTACCAAGCTGCCTGGTGGCCCATCAGCAATTCATAAGGAAGAAGAAATTCTTCATATTATGTCAGATGATCATAAAAGGGTATTGGTATCATTTCCTGGAAGAGGCTGGTACATATGTGGCAGTTTGTTCATCTAAAGCAGCACATTTGAAACAGACTGCAAACAGTTCTTCACACACCACCTTATAAGGTTCGTTATGTGATTTATAAAATCCTGATACAGCCTATATTTCTTTCATATTGTGTTTATGGCCATGGCCCCCCAAAAATTGAGAATGGCTGATCTAAATTAACATCAGCTGCTATTGCTTTGTGCCACCATGCCTGATTAAGATATGCAGGAATCACTGAGGACATTAAGATCTGCATTGAAAACGTACCCTCTGATGGCAACAGCCTGTTTACCAACATAACTGACAAAGTGGTGGGCAGCAGGATCAAAAGGTCATCTTACGTCAAAAGAAGAAGAAAATAAAAAACTCCCCCTAGTGGCAGAGTACAGATTAACCAGCTTTGCATTAGTTCCTACGGAAACGAATGCCTCTCCCTACAAACAGCGCCTCGACATACAAACGAAAAACAGCAAGTATGGATTAAATGGTTTTCAATGCATTTCTATGGGAAAGTTTGCCTTGACTTACGAACTTTTTGACGTACGAACGCCATTCCAATACGGATTAAGTTCGTAAGTCGAGATACTACTGTAGTTCAAGTCTACCAGGAGACATGTATCTACTCCAAAATGAAAGCTGTGTCCAGACAGCCACAGTCACAATCATATGGATGTTCATCTTTGCAGAAGAATCAATGTGGTCCACCTGAATACCACTCAGCAGCGTCTTTGTCAAAGAAAACCAAGAAATTCCAAACAACGCCTTTTACTTCAACAGTCACAAATACAGTGGTGCCTTGCTTAACGATGTTAATTGGTTCCAAAAAAACATTGTTATGGGAAAACATCGCTAAGCGAAACACCATTTCCCATAGGAATACATTGAAAACCGATTAGTTCAATGCATTCTAATGGGGAAGAAAATAATTCACCAAAAATTAACAAAGAGTCAGATCAAAGCCAAATTAAGTTTGCAAAGGTTTCAGAAGGTGCACTAACAATCCCAAGCATTTAAAACCATTTTTGAACCTTTTAGGACACTTTAAAAATAGCGAAAACGGAACATCGCTAAGCGAAACAGGGGACCTAAAACTGTCATCGCTAAGCGAGGCAAGGTCCCAAACATCGCTATGCGAAAATTCCCCATAGGGAACATCGGTAAACGGAGCACAAAATCGCTCCAAAAACCTCATCGCTAAGCAAATACATCGTTAAACGAGGCAATCGCTAAGCGAGGCACCACTGTACATTATTTATACAGGAGACTTCC